AAAAAAACACAAACAAACCAACTCATATATAGTCCAAGATAACAAAAATATATAATCCAAACATAGTCCAACAAATCAAAGTAAACAATAAAAAAAAATAGTCCCACATAAAAAAAATACCCACTAACAAATCTAGTTTCCCTACTCATCACGGCGTCTAGATCTATCAGTGCGAGGATGTGAGGACGGACAGTCATCCACAAAATGCTCTGTATCACCACATCCACTACACTGTCCTTTATCATTCGGGCGGCGTGCCCGATGATCCATTTGCATGCGATGACGCCTCGTTTGCGCGCGACCGGGTCCAGCCTTCGTGATGTCCTCTCCCAATGTGGTAGTAAGGTCCATCCGACCAGCGGCCATGTGTCTGGATCACCAACCGGAGCAAAAGTCCAATTAGAAAATTGAGCTACCTAGGTCTCCGTCCAAAAGTGGGGATCGTATAATACCTTCGGTGGAGTATTAAGTTGCCGACACACAGCTATAACATGAGAGCATGGTTTCCTATGTGTCTGCCACTTCAGACAACGACAACACATCTCGTCGTACCAAACCATATACATGTTTTTCGACATTGAATTATATTTATAAACAACTAAAAATTTTAATGAACCAAAATAAAAAAAAAAAATTGTACATTAAATAAATAAACCATATACCTTTTGTCCCCTCTACCACTCGCCCGTAGCCCGGTTGTCACCTCGTACAGGGATCTCCCCGCGTTCACACATCTCACCTTATGAGTTGCGGTCGTACTCTCCAATTTGCAATAAGCGGCATAGTGGGTATTAGCAATGGCATTACTACATCTCGTGGATTTCTTTTATTCCTGGTCAAATAATTCCAGAGTTTTCATGAATGTGGCGTGTACAAAGCTCGACATGGCAAGAACCTGACACCTTTCAGGATGTTGTTGTAACTCTCAGACATATTGGTCGTCAATGTACCCCATCTATGTCCTCCGTCTCCAATCAGGGTCCACTTGTCCAGAGGATCTCCGAATAGGTAATTGTATGCATCCAGATTAAAATCCGAAAGCCGCTCTCGTATCTTTTCAAATTTTCCCTGTGAAAGCTCTGAACCCAACTCCAAACACTAATTTCAGATTTTGCTATTCCTGTACCTAGTAACAACGTTGCTCCGAAGGTGTCGAAGACAGATGCGGTGATATGCAGCAGGTTCTTGCCAAGCCGCCAATGAATCCACGACACTCTGTAAGCCAGCATCACTGTCCGAAAGAAAGCATATATGTCTGTCGCTGACAACATGTTGCCGGAGATTTGTCAGGAAAAATGACTAACTTTCCCTGCTCTCTTCATCCACAATCGCATAAGCGATTGGAAATAACCGTTATTCGTAGTCTGTGCAACGACCACAAGCAACTTCCCCTTGTACGAGCCACGCAAATGCGTGCCGTCCATGCTAATTACCGGCGGGCATCTCTGGAAGGTTTGAATGGCAGGACAAAATGCCCAGAAAACAAATTTGAATTCTCTGTGCTCATAGTGGGCCGCCATTTCCCCACCCTGCCATTCCCACTGTACAATTGTAGTGGGATTCGCTCTTTGAAGCGCCGCAAAAAACCTGCACGTTACAAAACGTAATCGTCAATACATAAACATAGTGAGACAAATAACACGTACATTTTTAATAAAATTTTTCTTACTGAGGGAGTTGTGCGAAGTTCTCTTCCCAAGTGCCATACAAACTGTCGATGGTTTTTTCCTCCCGTGTCATGCCTTCTTATAGCTCACATCGAATTTCCAATATTTTTTTACATCCTCCTGGATCAGGGTAACACTGTACTCAGGTTTCTTTTGAATTGGGTTTCTTTTGAATCTTGGTCATGACAAGATTGGAAATCATTGTGGCGGTTACATTTCTGTGGTCATTTTTGTCGACTTCTTGCATACAACTATGCCTCTCGGTCCATTCCATTACTTCCCACAGTTCATGAACTCGTGTGCAGTGCGTCACTCGAGCCTTCCACGGACAAGGTTGAGCTTCATCGGATTTGCACACCACCTTGACTGATTTCTTATTCGAATATTTTGTCCTAACCTCCCCCAATCTACTAACGTTCCAATTAATTATACCAATCTGTGCTTCTTCCTTGGACCGGAAAACAGTACCCAAACGGATAGTCTCGACATTTCCATTCCAACGAGGGGGAGCATGCTCATCCCGGTCTACACACGACAGGTCCTACTCACCCATCTCGCGATACATGTGTTGACCGCTACTAGGAAATAGGTGCTCTTCAATAAACTCTGGTTCACTCTCCCTGTTTATTGATCTGTCCGATTCCGTTTCCGATGTATCATCTGTGAAATCGTCTTCATCAGGAATGAAATCATCATCAGGTTCTTTTCTAACTGTTGAGCTTGTCCCTCCGCCAAAATTACGAACATGAGAAGTGGACGTACCCTCAAAATCAGGCACTCCCCCGTAAAAAGGGGGAACATCCTCAAACTGCGTAATCACTGTAGGTGCCTGCGTAACCTGCTTCAACTCTAAATACAAATACACATAGGAGAAAGCAGGAAAATAATATATCCACTCAAAGGCACTATCAGTATTCATGTTTCCAATATTCCACGAACCATCGGGTCGGTTAGTCAGTAAACTAATCCCCTCAATTGTCAAACCATTTCGACGGAATCCAAAATTTTCATAAAGTATATCTACAAATTGTTGAAATGATATCTTCTCCCCAATGCTAAATGAACAATCGGGACAGTTTATAAAATCCGAAAATGAAACTAAAACCTCTTTGGGATGATTCCAATAGACATTAAAAAAGTATGGTCCAGTAGCGTCCATTTATACTTGTTAAAAATAAAATCACGAATTCTTTTATCAAACCCTAATACTCATAATCCATCAATAACATATAATTCACTTTCAACCAAAAAAACCATAAAAAATTATTCTCAATCAAATAATCCTTCAAAACCCTAATACCCTTATCGAACAATAACATATAAATCATCTATAATTCCGACAAATTGAAACCCTAATTTTGAAAAACCCTAACCCCAAAAACAACCAAACAATTACACAATTGACAATTTACACACAAAATGTCAATTTCCAATTCAACATACACACATAATCGTTAATATTAGCAATTTCAATCTTCAAACACCACCACATTCAAACATATTACAACAATTCTCAATCTTCAATTAACACCAAACAAATATAAAATGTTTAGATAAGCCAATATACCTCATGCGAATAAATTAACCGAAAATAAGGCTCGTGTCGTTGTTGTCGATTCACGTCGAGGTGAGAATTGGATCGATTTTTTTTCTGAAGTTTTTTTCGCTCTTTCTGTTCTCTGTTTCTCCTCTTTGTGCTCTCTCCTCTATTGAATGGTTCGCGTAAAATGAATGGAGAAGAGATTTTTTTAATATATTTTAACTTCAACCGTATTTAAGAAATACGTTTTTCTTTCATTTAATTGTAAACGTATTCCTTAAATACGTTTTATTTAAATGTATTTTTCTATTCAATCGGGTGATTTAAAAAAAAATTATATTTTGTAAGACGTATTTGTGAAATACGGCTTCCCAAAACGTATTAGAAAAATACGTTTTCTATTTCTTTTTTTAATTTAACGATAACGATTTTCCAAATTGTTTTCTTTTTTTTTTAATTACTGAGCAGTCTTGATCAGTCGATGAGTTGAGAGGTTGGTATTTTGAAACAGCCAAAGATTGCGCGCCTCCCAAAGCCATCATAACATATAGGTGGTCGATTGGATCCTGGATTCAGCCACTTCAGAATTAGCCAAGGAACATAAATGAGACCACCACCCTCTGAAGGAGGTAGTGTAAGGCTGCAGAACATCCCAATTCACTGGGGCTATTTCCCAAACCTTGCTAGCTTTTGAACAGGTAAACATAACATGCTCAATAGTCTCTATCTCATTTCCACAAGTTTGACATATAGCATCAAGTCTCAGACCTTTCTTAAGCAAGTTAAGTTTCACAGGTACTGAACCAGTAATACACTTCCAGATAAAATGTTTTATCTTACCCACAACTTTTAGTTTCCAGCATTTGTCAAAGAAGTGATTTTGGTTGCTAGAGAGGGAGCTGCAACTAGGAATATCAAGAGCCAGAAGCTTTTGCTTACTCAGAAAAGCATAGGTACTTGCAACAGTGAATTTGCCTTTTTTGTTCAAAGACCAGAACATTCTATCAGCCATACCTGGTTTTAGAGTGTTAATATTCAGAATAGCTTGGCAGTTAGTTTCATTAAACAACTGAGATACTAACCAGTCACTCCATCCAGTCCCAGCAGAGTTAAGAAGTTCACTAACCCAAATAATGTGTCCTCTAGCAAGATCAAGCAGAAAAGGCTTAGGAGTTCTGAGGGAAGGCACCCAGTTTATATCATCAATCCTGGTAGAAATCCCATTTCTGATTTCCACAGAGAAACCTTTGGCAAATACAGGAACATCAGAGAGCCAGTTAGACCAAAGCCAGGAGCTATTACTAGACTTGACAACATAAAAAATTGAGCAGCTTGGAAAATATCTATCTTTCAAAATTCTGCTAACAAGAAGAGTGGGCTGAGAAGTAATTCTCCATAACTGCTTGCATATTAATGCTCTGTTGAAATTCCTCAAGTCTAAGAACCCCATACCACCATCTTCTTTAGGCAAAGATAAAGCAAACCATGATTTCCAATGAATACCAGAGTCTTGATTCTCACCTTTACTCCACCAGAAGTTAGAACAACATTTAGAGATTTCTGAGCATAACCCTGCTGGTAATACAAAGCAGGACATAGAGAATAAGGGAAGAGCTTGCAGAACAGCTTTAATTAGAACCTCCTTACCAGCAGGGGATAACAATCTAGCCTTCCAACTCAGCAATTTTGCTTTCACAGAGTCCAGCACATATTGAAATGCATCCTTCTTTGATCTGCCAATTCCTAGGGGCAAACCCAAAAACCTTGTTGATTTATGAGCAGTGATACCTTGTAAAGCTGCACCAATTCTATTTTGCAAAATGGCAGGAGTGTTTCTACTGTAGAAGATAACTGATTGTTAAAGTTTACTTTTTGCCCAGTGAACAGTCTGTACTTTTCCAGTAAATTCAAAAGAGCATTAGCCTGTCCAACATCAGCTTTGCAAAATAATAATGAATCGTCCACGAAAAGAAGATGAGATATGGGGGGGCATTTTTTGAAAGCTTCATCCCAATTAACTGACCTGAGTTCATAGATGGGGAGGAATCATCAAATGCTCTTCTTCTGCAAACTACAACCCAAGTCGCACCCCCTGATCTTCTTATGATATAACAGTCCCCCTCTTGTTCTAAAACTTGGAAGAGAGCCCCTCGCAGAGATGGT